CACAATTGATCTGCTAAGAACCATAGAGAACCTCTGTCATTACCATTTCCTCATCTTGCATCAAATTCTCAAAATCACAAAATCCACAAAAACTCCAAAATTGGTCATGAAGTGAATTCTGCCCAAAATCAATTCTACCCTTTCAAACACCTCAACCACCCTCCACACAACTTCTAAATAACATATAGAAGGTGTGTGATCCATTAAACCACCAAGAAACTTCAAAAATCAAAAAGTCAACTTCCTTCCCACACTACTTTGACCAAAAGCCACAAAAATCACCAAACTTTGTTCTAAGCCTTTCCTTGAGGTTTTGATCATTCATACACCTCACCAATGATGTTTCTCAACTGTCAAAACCATTAGCAACCATTGGAGACTCATATTTTCTCATTTAGCATCATAAGTGCATTGTTGCTTAAAATTGAAGAAAGGTTCAAAGGCAAAGGAGTGAAGTAGAAGTCTCTGGTTTTCTCAACTGTTTTAGCTTGTTCAAAAGGGTCATCAAGAGGTATGTTACTTGTGCATTTTGTATCTTGTATCATTTTTCATGATTTTGGCATTTTGAGCATTTTGGTGCATTCTTGAGGTTATGAACACTTGTTAATTCTTCATGATATTTGGTATATGATGAATGGTAGATTTGTTGTGAGTGGTAACATAAACTTGTTCTTGCTAAAATATTGATTATGATGTGTGAGTTTATACCATGTTATCTTGTGAATATCCTACTGCCATATGGAGTGCTTTGAACTTGGCTTTCATCATTTACATCAAGGTATGTGGCTGCCCCTATTTTCTACTGTGATGCATATGTTAAGTCTAGATTATAGGCAATTTATTCTGTTTGTTGAAACCCTGTCATAACAGTTTGTTTGTGAATATTTCAACTTAAATTAAGTTTGGTATAATCTGGTATCTAGCATTGAGTTTAGGGGCTGCTAGCTGGAAGCTCATTGCCAGGTTTGCTTTCACCATAGTCCATTTGGTAGGGGCATGTCAGTTAGGTTTTGTTGAGGGGAAGATTCCATTGGATGCCTAAAATTGTTTTTGAACCTGAGCCTGCTAAACGCATGCCAATTCAAGGGAGTAGTACTTGGTTGCAACCTAAAACTTATTGAACATCTTTGCTGGTTTGCACTATGTTTCATCTTTCTACCAATTGCCCTTGGAGTTGATAAGTATTTGAGCTTTAAGGCACTGCTGTTTAGACTATTGCATTATAAGATTGTGAGTGGCATTTTGGATTTAGCACTTGCTGTTGGATTTTTTTGGTGGGCACTGGCCACTGTTCTATTGAGAAAGGAGTTTTTGGGGACTGTTCATGATTGGGTAGAAGTTGTGTACACAGCCAGCTTGATTTGAGGATCCTCAGCTTATTGCACTTAGATTGTGGAGCAAGAGTTTGCTATGGTTGAAACAATATTCTGCTGTGAGGACAGTAGGATCAGCTTGATGACCATCTTGGAAATTCTGGAGCATGAAGACCATATCCTGAGTGTGAGTTGCAGCTGACTCATTTTGGAACCTTTTAGTAGGAGCCACCATCATGATAGGGTCCCTTTGCATAATAACCACAAATGCTCTTGGGGCTTGGTATTGATAGCTTATCACACTTGGTCTTTTGACAGGTTTAGAAAGCTTTGAGGTTATCTTGGTTAAGGTGGGGAGCAAGCTGGCAGAGATTATGTTGTTGTTTTGTTTAAGTCACAATGAAGTACTGAGAGCATGCTAAATATTAGCTCTGTCAGGATTGGTTCTTGACCAAGTTCATGGATCTAGTTCACACAGCCTGATTTGTAAAACTTTGGTGTAGGCTGGGCTGGGCTGGTAAACAAGTGAATCAGTATTTACCCTACTTTCCACTGCCAGTAGCATAAGATGGTTATGAGTTGATGCTGGGAAGAGTTGGAGAGTCCTTTTTGTTTATGACAGTTTTGATTTACTAACTGTTTTACTGTCATTAATAGGTTGCTCATAGTTGATGTTTTTTATTTTGATTAGATGCTTTTGGCCAAAATGTGAAAGTGAATAGTTTCTGTTAAGAGCCTGTGGATAGCAAACCAAGCCTCTTTTGTTTTTGTTGTATTTAATCATTTGAAGGGTTGGATATCATCACTCATGCTGTGAGTAGGATAGAAGCTCTGGTTGGTTTGATTTTTTTTATTTGTGCTGTTAAAAAAGAACTTTAGAGGCAGTAGGAAATCTTTTTTGCATAGGCATTTGAAAAATCATCTTTCATCCCTTAAACATGTGTAAATATGCATTTGGATTTTGTGTGTATGTTTGTTTTCAACTGTTGGTGCATAAAGTGTGAAACTCATGTTCATACCAAAATCACAAAAGCCACTCACATTACCATTTTCTGCATAAACTGATTTTTCACTAAAGGCAACATTTCAAACATTTCATGACCATCATTTTGAACTGTTAGCATCATTTTGAGACCAAAAACACATTGCCATGAGATTCACACTTCAAAATGCACATTTTCACATTCTTGCATTTCAACATGTCACTTTCCATTTCTGCATGAACCAAGTTAATTTGAGTTGATAATATCCTTGAGAATCATGTTTGAAATCTGTGCATGTACTTAGCATGGTTTAAGAGTGTTTGAATTATTTGGAAAATCTCAAAATGCATTCAAAAGCACACAAGCACAGTTGCTATCGAATTTTTCACCATAGTGAGAATTTTGGAAAACTACCACCACCATCATCTTCCTCTTGATTTTCTACCCCAGATGCATATAAATTTTGCGTCATTCCGATAAACGGTTAGAAAGTTACACTAGAAAACGTATTTGTTTGGTTTATGTTTTTTGCCCAGCCATGAACTCATGTTACCCTTATTAATTATTAGGGGTGGCTTCATCAATGGATGTATAGCCACCCCAGTGGTATGACCATGCGTCTTGTACCCTCTTGTCCTGAGTTCGACCCCTGAGGAGGGCAACTCTTTTGTGCAATTTTGTGATTTTTTACCAAAACTTCAAAAATTCGTATCTCACTCATTTTTCATCGTTTTTCGTCCGTTCTTTTTTCGTTGTGTTCATATTTATGTTTACTTTCATGCCATGTCTTTATTTTTTATGTTTGCATATTTTATCACTTACTTTGATTATGTGCAAGTTGTGCGTGTTTTCACGATCGTTTACGTAGTTGCAGATAAATGTTTATGTGGTTCCTCATGATATTTTTCTTGCATCTTGTTTGAATCCATGCCCATACATGTTAGTTAACATTATGGGATTTATTTCTCGGTGGTTACCATTTTCATCTGTTAATTTTCATTAAGTGTGAACTATTGTCACAGTATCGATTATTTCATCTGTTAATTGTTATCATCATGTTTCATTCTCACCATTTCCCATTATTTACTTGGTTGTCACCATGAATATGCTTTACCTTGATTGTTATATTGTTTAGCATTTATTTTCTTTTCTCCCCAAGTGATGAGGCTCGTTAGCTTTCGTCTGTTTATTCCCCAGTCTCCCTCCAAAGGAAGGTCTGCCCACTTGACCCTCGATGTCATGGATAACTAATTCAATCACACCTTTTGACTTTGTTAAGTCATTTTTACCCTAGCTTAGAAGCCTTTAGACTTTGCTTAAGTCTAAAAGACCCACCCGTACTAGGAGCGTTCTTCAACTAGAACCCTAGGAAAGAGTTCGTCAACTCTGTGTAAGAATCATCGTCATGATTCCTTACTTTCCCCTTTTACTACAACTTAGATTAGGGAGTTTTGTCAAACTCCACACAAACATTGTCATGTTTGTTTTCCCCTTTTGAACCTTGATCGTCATCAAGTATTCTTTTCCCTTGTGAGGCGAACTACGATTGCTCTGATTCTATCCTAGTCAGGATACGTAGGCAAAAGATGCGACGTCTTTGCGAGCAAACTTAGAAAACCACTTAGGCCTTTATTTATTTATTTTATCTCAAATCCGAGTACAATTCACAAGCTTAGCAATCAATCAAACAAAAGGTTCCTGTAGAGTACTACAGATATTTATGGTGCTAATACCTTCCCTAGATATAACTAACCCCCGATCCCCGAATCTCTTAGCGTTGTTTACATCGCGAAAAAGGTTTTTCTTTCTTGAGACCTTTCCTTTGGATAAATTAAAGATCGGTTGTAAAAGAAATAAAGTTCGAGTTAATTAATAGCTTGCTATCCAATTTTCACCGCAACAGCCGTCATAAAAAGTCCCATTTTTACTTCCAATACTGTTGCCACCTCCTGAACCGCCAGATCTACAATTATCATGATTTGTAATTTTTTCTAAAATTTTATAGATTTTATTTTATTTGAAGAGTAGTAGAAGACCCGTACGTCCGCACGGGTAAGTCCATTCATATCTTATATGATTCAATGAGACTTTAATGTTGTTGATGTATAATTCTTATTATAAAATCGCTAACATTTACAAATATGTAGTATATCACCAACAGAGAAAATCCAATACGATTAATAACTGCAAATATTTACAAATATGACTGATAATTACAAATATTTATAAATATTTCCTTGAATATTTACTTATATATTCTTACATATTACATATTTTCTTAATTTGTTTAGCTCATCACCAACATGAGAAATCTAATATGAAAAACTCTTTCGTCGTGCAATTTTTTTTACAGTGGAAATTGTTACAATATATATATATATATATATATATATATATATATATATATATATATATATATATATATATATATATATATATATATATATATATATATATATATATATATATATATATATATATATATATATATATATATATATATATCTCCAACAACTATTTCAAGAGTTATCCATAATAACTCATTAAATGGAAATGGTTACAGTCTTTTAGACCTGGTAGAGTTTAAATAGATTTTGAACTAAAATTCAAACCCTTAACATAGTAGAAACTTAACAGCAAATGGCAGCATATAATTTTTCTTGTAATTATGATTAACCAAAATATTTTATTGAATTTGGTTTAACTACTGTGAAGAAACGACCACTTGTTCATTGTCATCATCAATTCCGAAATATAGATCTCCAAACTCGCCCATGCCCGGTATGACACAAAAATCTTCATTCAAACCAATCTTTATCTCAGATGTCACTATTTTAATTCTTGGAAAACTTTTGCTAGCCACATGAACACCTTTAGGAGCTGCACATGATGAGAAGATCATAAACATAATCAATTAAAAGAACACAAAAAAACACAAAGAACCGAGAGAATAACAATGACCTGCAAAGAAAAGGAGGAAATGAGGAATATCAATATAATAATTGAAAGTGCTTTTAAAAATGATAAAGGGATACAGATATATATTTTCACATCAAAAGAATAGTCAAACTAAGTAAATACCACAACACCCAATCCAAGAAGCAAAAGAAGAATCAAATTGCTAGCACATCAACTTGAGATTTGATCTTGAAATGTGTGGAGGGATGCATAAACATAATTCACTGATATATATATATATATATATATATATATATATATATATATATATATATATAATGATTATTTTGTCAAAAATAGGACATTTTTGTCACAAAATAAATGATGAACTAACCATGGGCTCATTTGGAACTGAAACCACTCATAGTGCCTCCCTAATGTACTCTTCCATAGTTGGTGTTATGGATGTTTGAGTCCTAACTAATTAGCATAAAGAAATAAAATGCATTGAAAAGTATTATATAATAGTTCTTTACTGAGAAAAAATGAATTAAGAAGTTATGTTATAGTCCTATGTTTGGTAGTTGGTTATGTAGTAGGAATATATGACATTAAAAATGTTAGTAGTGGTTTAACATCGGGAAATACTTTTTAATAGTTGTAGGAAAGGTTAATAAACATTAATATAAATAGCAAGTATAAGTCATGCACCTTTATAGAGTTCAAATTTAACATAACCTTGTACAATAAGTCAGAACCAACAGTAGCAGAATAAAAGCACATAAGGATTCTCAAAATAACTAACCAAACACACATGTGTTCCACCAACAATTAACCAAAAACAAATACAAAAGCCTCGACCGACAACAATTAAAAATTGCAACTGAAAACAAATAGGATGTCTAACCACCACTCACCAATCCTTGTTGCACAGACAAACCAGAGGCTCAATAATGGAAGCAAAAACCAGAGGATATCATTAAATGGAAGATGTAAAAAACTCTACCTTTGGCCAAAATACAGTCTACTCAAACTTCCATCACTTTGCTGGGAATATATAACTCACATGCTTATTTCTCAGACTGCTATCCAAAAAAGACGTACAGTATTCTTCTTAATCGTTGTCCCATTCAATCCCTAAATAGTTTACTTAACATTCTTTCAATATCAAAAACAACATAAGGCATTAAATCAAGTTAAGACATGGTTAGAACAAAAAAGTTTTCATTAAACCATAAAAGATGTGGTGAAGACAACTAACACTCTCCAAAACTCGGAGAAATCGCCTGCACAGGCATCAACTCACAATTAATCAACACATTTACATTAAAGAATGAGATAAATACAAAAAAAAAATTGTTTGTTATCCCAACTAACTTGTAGAACTTTTAAATGTCAACAACAAGTTCATTGTTAGCATCAGCAGCATCAATGTCAACAATCTCCTTTGGTTTGCTTGTCAAACCACAGGCAGTCTAATATATTATGAAAATAAAACATGTGAAGAATAAAAGTAAGAGTGTGTGATGATTTATTCCTGGAATTAACGTCTCCTTCCTTTCTGGTGTGCACAAACTTTTCTTTACTGCTCTCTTCTTCAGAACTTATTATATCAATTACTTCCACAAACATTGGTTTTTAAGTTACTCTCTTCTGAACAAGTTTAGGGGCCACTATCACTCTTCTAGCCACTGGAAATCCCTTAACAACAGTAGCATGAGGAACTCCCTTAATAGCATCAGAACAAACTTGGTTATTCAATTTCAATATGTGATAAGGTTAATCAAAACATTAGTTTCACATTACTATAGGCTAATCAAAGCAGGTCATAGTTTTAGCAGCTAATATAATACTATTTATTCAATATGCTAGAAACAATACATAAATAACGATAAATATATAGAACAGTATAGCTGAAAGTCTAAGTAACCAGCCTCACCCAGTCTAGACCTTTAGGATGTGGATCAACAATAACAGTAGGAATCCTCCCATCTCTGACCCGGGTAAATTCATTTGTTTCTTGTACCAGTAATACATGATGTAGAAAATAAGACCAAACTCGTAATGTGTTGCTTTACCTCAGTTATTTAACCCATGATTTAGATCTCTCTTTGAAGTCGCGGTGTCTAATGACAGTTCCAAAGCCACGGCCAATTATCAATTCGTCAAAATTCAACCCAATTTGTTGACTTTGTATGAGCAGCAGCTGAAAGGGCTTGGTCATTGTCAGCTTTCCTTGAGGATAATAGGAATACTTATCCAAAATCCATTAGTCATGCCTCAGCAACTCCCAATGGAGCTCTAGCTGCATCAATATGACCAACATCCATAGAATGTTCCATTTGTACATTCACCTGAAAAATAGAGTTAATCAATTATAGCTTAAATCAACACTGGTACAAAAAGAAGGTCCACAAGAAATCTGCCATATGAAATAGAATCATCAGCAACAATGATGTAATCTCCACTCACAACCTCAACCACTTGTACTATAATAAGATGTAGCAGAAAAATATAATTACAAAAAATGAATCATAAAATGAATATGACTCGATTGATTTAGTTTTTCAGTTTACAGCTAATGCAAAAAGAAATAATTATTGGCAGCATACCACTCCTTGAACATCTAGGATTGTGGTGCTTGAATCCATGTGCCTCTTGGCATCAATAGTGTGTATAGGAAACTTTATTAGAAAAGATTTCTAAAACTATTGCATGTGGTACCCATGATTTAAGACATTAGTTATTTTAGAAACCGATCAAGAACATATGAGGTCGTACCTGAAGGGTTCTAAGGCAAAAGACGACGATTCCAAGTGCTCTATGAGTTGAGTAGGTTATACTGGCCGATCAACCGCCTAGTTTTAGAGCAGTACCCCATCCAGCAATGCTGACTATGTAAGCAGTTGTTTGACAGGTAACATGAAGAGGGTCTGCAGATTTGAGCACCTTCAAATAAATTGCAATCATAGCTCCTAAGGGCTTTAAGATTCCCCTTCTCACTGTATTTAGTATTCCATGGGTCTAAAACAAATTACAAAAATATGTTATATCTGATATTAAGGCAGAGCTATAATCCATAACATAGCAATAAGAAATCAAGATTTCATCCATTTACAATGTGGATTAGGGAACAAAAACCTTCCTTTATCCAATAACAATAATAATTCAGATCACATCCTGACAAATGGTTAAGATCACCAACTGCATCACAAAAAACCGGATAATTTCAGAAACCATATTGAACAAAGTTGTATGAAATGAAATTTCTTAAAGCTTGGGGTTGTGAGCTTGAGGGTACGTAAGCAAAACCAACATTCATCTGGGTTTACCAATCTCAATTAGCATGTGACATATTCCTCATAGCAAGCAGAAATGTAATAAAAGTATCATCACAAACTTACCTTGCATTTCGGTTTGTTCAGCATGTAGGTTCCACCATACACAACACTTAAACGCGAAAATGCCTTCAAATAATCAAAGGTATTGAATTTAATTTCATAAGTACATTAAACATAAAAGGGAAAATAGATATGGAAAACCTGAGGCAAGTCTCTAAGTCCATATAGAATGAACATGAACCATGAGGAAAAAAAATTTGGTAGAATATACCTAACAACAACAAAAAAGTCTTCATGAAGATTAAGAAAGGGATGGAGCATAAGCTTTGCAAATGAAATCTGAATAATCAATTTTGAAGATAAAAAATCTAATAAAAGTGATGAAAGGGAAAGACAAAAGGCATTAGAAGTCATAAGCTTTGGACAAAAAATCTCGTGATGCAGTTCACGTCGAAATAATCAAAAGCAACCAGCACGCCACAATTATGGGTGTATTAAACAGCTTGAGTTGCCTTATTCTATAACATGTATGTATTAAAGCAACCAGCACGAAATATATTATATCATGTTCAACTTATAGTAAAAAAACTACTTTTCAAGCATCCTCACACAAAACAGAAATATTACTGATTTTAACAGCAGGAAACTTATACCACAAATATTACACATAAGAATGACATGACTTAATCTTAATCAAATTATATAATTACTTGTTGGAAGTATACACCAAAACCAACATACCTTGATTTTTAGAGCAGCAGTTGTGTCCCTCAGTTTGACGGTGAGCCACAAAGTTTAAAAATATGATTCAACTGCTCAACCTACAAGGAAGTAAAATAAATCTTATATACCTCGTACATTCATCAACATACCTGAAAAAATGAATCATAACCAACGTAATAACATAATGAATTATCATGTAACATTTTAAGCACACTAAATTCGTTTTCTGAAACGAAAATTAAGCTTGTCCATCCTCTCGAAAATCATCCTTCCAAATGTACCTTAAGAGTATATAACCTATCGAACAGAAGAAAAATGAAAGAAAAAAAAAAGCCCCAAATTCTAAGTGCATTATACTCGCATAATGATGTCAGTATTTCAGCACCAAACTGTTTCCTCCATTGTAGGATGTCAGCCCACATATGCTTTGCTTTTTCAATACCAAATTTCCTTGCTTTCAAAAATAAATATCAACAACAAAGTCCAGTAAACAAAAATTCAGTGCAAAGATTCTTTGAAGATATCTTGAGATGAGTGAATATTACTTTGTTCATAGTAACCAGAAACTCTTTGCTTGAAACCGAAACCAGGACCCACAAGTAGATCTCAATCTTCTTCTTTGTTTGAAATCAGACAAGAGAGAAGAAAGTATTTTTAGGTCTGAAATGTGAGAAGGGCGAATAGATCTTCATCTTCTTCTTGGTTTGAATCTCAGACCACAACCCACACCCAAATCTCCGTCTTTTTCAGTTGGAGTTGAAATCGGAACCATGACCCATAAGCATATCACCATCTTCTTATTTGCATAATGTGATTTTAAGAAGAAATATTGAGAAGAAAAAAAATAAAGAAAATGGAGAAAGAGATAGAGAGAGGATACGAGAAAGAGAGAGAGAGAATTCTGATAGAGGAGAAAGAAGGTACGGGAGGTAAGGTGAGAGAAAGA